CCAAAACAATTGTTGTTTATCTGAATTTGGCTGCCCCGCTGGCCTTCAATAGGCCAACTTGTATCAAATTGCTCCTGGTGGATACATAAATTAAGAAACTCTGCTCTGCCCCCTCCCTCCTTGCTCACCCACCCCCGACCCCCCACCCCAGAAAATCTGTGGACCCTTATAAGAGTGGACCGGCTGAGAGACATTGTAACATCCTTATCAGGACTATGGAAACTATCTGAGTGTTCATGGACAATCACACCATCTTGTAGCCCCCCCCCCCCCCCCCCCTGCAAAATGTATGAGGTCTCTCTACGTTGCTTGTGCTGAGGTAGATTTTAAAGATATCTTTACACTATGCCCTGTGTCAAGGACACGATGCGACAGATTTTTTTTTACTACCTTCTCTCCTCATGTTTTCTTCCCTTTTCTTATCTAGGTGATAAGGGCAGCGCTTCATAGAAGCTGCTGCCACGTACACTTCCGTCTACCCTTCAGACGCATGGAACGAGATTTCACTGTACTTAACTGTGCAATGAAAATAAAGTTCATTCTGATTATTATACAGTAGTCCCTCACTACTTCACAGTTGGTTTATCTCAAACTCGCTTTATCGCGGTTTTTCAAAATGAGGGGACATGACACACAATTGGCTGATTGATTGATGAACTGCACGATCAGCGTGGAATTTTTATTTAAAATAAAGTATTTTAAATTATTTAGCACCTGCTGCACATTTGTGCAGCCCATACTGCAGGATAAACTTCCTGCTGCAGCTGATCAGCTGTTCACCATGCAGAGTGGAGAAGTGGGCGTGGCCAAGAGAGCTTGCAAGTGGCAAAGAGCAGAGGAGACAGGGAGCTGAAAGCATGACATTCTGTGTCTTTTAGAGCTTTAGAGTTTAGAAACATTTGTTTAGAATATTGCAAGAATGTGGGAAGGGTTTAAAACACTTTAATATATATATATATATATATATATATATATATATATATATATATATACAGTATATATACAGTATATATACTAAAATAGACTTTTTTTTTCCTTCTTTCGGCTGCTCCCTATTTTAGGGGTCGCCACAGCAAACTAAGTCGCATGAAGACTTGGTAGTTATTTTTACGCCGGATGTCCTTACTGACGCAACCACAGACCACCGAGCTACCACAGCCCTCTGTGTGGAGCAGAGAGCAGCTATCTAGGACACCCGGAAGAGCAGATGGTGGGGGTTAAGGGCCTTGCTCAAGGGCCCAGAGTGGGACAAATGAGGGTGGGGGCAGGTGTGGGTGCTTCACCTACCCCACCCACATCCACCCACATTTTTGATGTTGTCGGTACTAGGGCTTGAACCAGCGATCTTCCGATCACAGGCCCACCTTCTCTAACCTCTGCGCCACCACTCCCCTCTATACTAACTAAAATAGACTATATATATATAGGAGGCCCAGAGGAAGACCCAGGACATGCTGGAGGGACTATGTTTCTCGGCTGGCCTGGGAACGCCTCGGGATTCCCCCGGAAGAGCTGGCCCAAGTGGCTGGGGAGAGGGAAGTCTGGGCCTCCCTACTTAGGCTGCTACCCCCGCGACCCGACCCCGGATAAGCGGAAGAAAATGGATGGATGGATATATATAGTCTATTGTATTATATATATATAAAAACCGGATTCCAAAAAAGTTTGGATACTAAACAAATTGTCAATAAAAACTGAATGCAATGATGTGGAGGTGCCAACATCTTATATTTTATTCAGAATAGAACACAAATCACAGATCAAAAGTTTAAACTGAGAGAATGTATCGTTTTAAGGGAAAAATCTGTTGTTTCCAAATTTCATGGCGTCAACAAATCCCAAAAAAGTTGGGACAAGTCCGTGTTTACCACTGTGTGGCATCCCCCTTCTTCTTACAACACTCAACAGACGTCTGGGGACAGAGGAGACCAGTTTCTCAAGTTTAGAAACAGGAATGCTCTCCCATTCATGTCTAATACAGGCCTCTAACTGTTCAATCGTCTTGGGCCTTCTTTGTCGCACCTTCCTCTTTATGATGCGCCAAATGTTCTCTATAGGTGAAAGATCTGGACTGCAGGCTGGCCATTTCAGTACCCGGATCCTTCTCCTACGTAACCATGATGTTGTGATTGCTGCAGAATGTGGTCTGGCATTATCGTGTTGAAAAATGCAGGGTCTTCCCTGAAAGAGATGACGTCTAAATGGGAGCATATGTTGTTCTAGAACCTGAACATAGTTCTCTGCATTAATGGTGCCTTTCCAGACATGCAAGCTGCCCATGCCACAAGCGCTCATGCAACCCCATACCATCAGTGATGCAGGCTTCTGAACGGAGCGTTGATAACAACTTGGGCTATCCTTGTCCTCTCTGGTCCAGATGACATGGCGTTCCAGTGTTCCATAAAGAACTTCAAATCATGACTCATCTGACCACAGAACAGTCTTCCATTTTGCCACACTCCATTTTAAATGACCCCTGGCCCAGTGCAAACGTCTGAGCTTGTGGAGCTTGCTTAGAAATGGCTTCCTTTTTGCACTGTAGAGTTTCAGCTGGCAACGGCGGATGGCACGGTGGATTGTGTTCACTGACAATGCTTTCTGGAAGTATTCCTGAGCCCATTCTGTTATTTCCTTGACAGTGGCATTCCTGTTTGAGGTGCAGTGACGTTTAAGGGCCCGGAGATCACGAGCATCCAGTAGAGTTTTACGGCCTTGACCCTTACGCACAGCGATTGTTCCAGATTCTCTGAATCT